TGTTGTATGTTATTTATGTTTGTAGTTTAAGGGTATGGATGTTAGTGTATGCATATGGGCATATGGATGTCACTCAATGAATGCTGACTAGATTGAAATTTGAATTGCATTTGCACTGGCAGAATCTCAAAGGACTCCTTCATGCATTACATTCAATTCAGGGAATTGGTTCAAATCCAAAATCCCAGGCTTCTGTAGATCACAGCTTCAATTCTGAGAACATCTCCTAACCTGGTAGGTCACTAAAGTACCTAAAATTAGGTAAACAAGTAAAGCAGACTTCTTTTTACCTTTTATTTAATTTTTGATGCTACATCATCTCTCTCCAAGCCCCATCCATCACATGCTTCAAGCACATAGTGTCTTTGCATTCTCTCCTTGCCACTGCTTTTTATCTAAGCCTGATTAGAGGGAAAGATTGGTATGAAAGTTACACTTTCAATGTGTTTGTTGTCTTAGTTTTAGTTTCTTTCAGGAAGTAGAGCCTGAAATGAGTAACTGGGTTCAGATAGTTTATTTGGGAGATGATTCCAGGAAGCAGAAGTCAAAGTGTAGGGAGACTGAGACAGGGAAGGAAAAAAAAGCCTTCAATATTATGAGGCTTATCCATGTGGTTACAGATTGTAAGAGTTCATTCATTCTCTTAACTAGATGGCAGGAATTAAAAAAATAAATAAAAATACTGCTGTGTGACTAGTACATGTGATTTTAAGATAGTTGTATATTTGAAGATTACCCCTTTCCATTGCCTCTTTGTTGTGTGCGTATGTGTGTGTGCGTGTGAGATCTTCACAAGATAAGGTGATGGTTTAAGATTTTAACATTGTACTTGTATAATCTATTAAATTGTTGTAATAAGTATTGGGAGGAAACTGATATTAGCTGGTGCTGACTTTTTTCTTGATATAGTTATCATCCCTTGTTCACTTGTGTTTCTGCCCAACCGTAATCATGTTTGAGAACCGGGGTCAAGGCAGAAAACCAGGCAGGCTCAGCAGGTTTATGAGAATCAGGTCAGTTGATACAGTGCATTGGCAGGACTTTCCAGATTAGAAAAATTGAAAGTATATTATGTTTACCCCTAAAATATGGGCCGACACGACGGCATGTAACAACAACAACAACAAACTCCTAAAATGTTGGTAGTAGTCAACTCACTCTCATTTTTATATGTTTCTGTGAGAAGGACAAAGATTCCCCACAGTCCTGAAATTTTCTTATGTTTAGATATATCTGCAGTACAGTCAGGAGCTCTGGTGGTGTAGTGCCTAAGGCACTTGACTGCTACCCAGAAGGCTGGCAGTTGAAACCCACCAGCCACTCCTCGGAAGGAAGGTTGAGCAATCCCCTTCTGTAGTGATACCACCTCGGAAACCCAAGGAGGGATCGCTATGAGTCGCATCCAACTCGATGGCAGAGAGTTCAGTTTTTTGGTTTTGGCAGTGTAGTTGGGCCCACTGTGAACTCTGGCTTTTCTTCAGGCGATTTTTGATGTTAGCTGTTATGTTACCTTAATCACTGGATTTTTATTGGATGTTATCCTAATTTTACCCTCTCTGAAGCTTCAAAGGCCCACTATTTAAATTGGGAGTTTTTGTTAGGTACACAAACTAGAGGACGGTAGAAACAATTTTTATTAAGAGAGATCAATTTCCACATTTATTTTAAAAACTGCTGAATTCACGTAAGAAGACTAAATAGAATCCCTAAATTTTATCATATATAGATACGATTTTTTTTTTTTTTTTTTTTTAATTGGGATTTGGGTGAAGATTTACAGAGCAAATTCATACAGCAGTTCATATACATTTTGTCTCATGACATTGACCACAGTTTACCACAATGCAACAGCTCCCCTCCCATTTCCTCCCCACAGTTACCTCTTCCCAGTGTCCATCCCTCCATGGGCTCCTGTCCCCTGAGCTGTCTCCCTGTGCGTAAGCAGCCCTTCTTTCTCCCATGATTGTTCTCTCCAAGGAGTGTATCTACTTGAGGTAAATGTTCAACTCATATGTCTTTTGTTTGGCTGGAAACCACAGGTGTGGGTTCAGTTCCAGACCCGAAGGGCAGCTAGGGGCCATAGTCTCAGTGGTTCCATCAGGCTCTATTGGACCAGCAAACCTGGTACCCCCTTTTTTTTCTCCAATGATTTTGAGTTTTGTTCCACATTGTTCTCCCTCTCTATCAAAGATCTCCTACATTGATTGCCTTTCAAGTGGATGATAGTGGTAACCGGGCACCATCTAGTTCTTCTGGCCTCATAGTCATATAGGCTGCAGATCAGATGGTGTACCAGTGGCTAGGACTAATTGTTTCCATGAATCTTGGTTTTCTTCATTCTTCTTTGTTCTGGATGAGGAGAGACCCATCATTGCATCTAGATGGCAGCTTGCTAGCTTTTAAGATCCCAGTCACTGCTTGCCAAAGTAGGAGGTGGAACAATGTTTTGTGTAGTATGTTATGCCAATTGAGCTTGGTGACCCCTGTGACTATGATCCTAAGCCCACAGGTTCAACTACTTGGTCTCTCTGGGTAGCTGGCTGTTACCAAGCAGTGACCATAGCCTTGCCCCTTGTCAGCTCTACTATACACCTGGGAATTTTGATCATTCACATAAACTTGTAGGACCATTGTCTGCCAACCCCGTATATGACTGGGATACACTCCCCATTTCATAGACATACCTAATTGTACAGCCTGTCCACCCATCTATCCATCCTATAGATATGATTTCTTAAACAATCTTTAGTCCTTTATCTCTTTGCTTTTTAAAAATAATTCATTGTAAAACCTGCTTAGTAGACATCTTCCCCAAATTCAAAAGCAATTATTCTTAGCACTCATATACATTTTTAACACTCATATACGTTTTTCAGAGTGTGCATTTTAAATAATTCTTCATTGCCTGAGTTTTTTAAAGTGATTTTTAAGCCAGTGTCAAAATATAAGAAATAACTCCTCATAGAAACCTAAAGGAACTTGAGATAACCTGTATTGCTTCCTTTTTTAACCTTTATTTGCAATCTACCATTTTTCCTTACCCCAGGGTTATTTGTCAGACTGCCATTTCTCTGTAATGGTCAGTGGTGGTTCAGCAGTAGAATTCTCACCTTCCATTCATGAGCCCTGGGTCCAAATCCTGGCTGGTGCACCTCATGCACAGCTACCGCCCATCTGTCAGTGGAGGCTTGAGTATTGCTATGGTATTGAACAGGTTTCAGCAGAGCTTTCACCTTGAAACAGAGTACGAAGAACCGCGTGGCTATCTACTTTTGAAAAACCCAAAAACCAAACTCACTGCCTCCAAGTCGGATCTGACTCATAGGGACCCCTCCTTGGGTTTCTGAGGCAGTATCTCTCCAGAAGTAGATTGCCCAGTCTTCCTTCTGAGGAGTTGCTAGTGGATTTCAACTGCTATCCTTCTGGTTAGCAGTCAAATGCCTTAGGTACTATGCCAGAGCTCAGCCAATGAAAATCCTATAGATCAAAATGCTCAGATCATGTAGATGGTACAAGGTCAGTCAGTGTTATGCTCAGGGTGGTTCAAGGCAGGAATCCCCTAGTAATGGGAGATTCTGAGTTATTAAGTGATTTAGCATGAACATTCAGTAAATATTTGTTGACTGCTTTAAAAATGCTAACACCGCACTAAATTCTGGTTGTACAGTAGAGATCAAATACAGTGTCTGTCCTCAGTCAGTTTATAGAGTGCAAGCTGTTAAAGACCAAGCATCAAAAAAATTCTCTGTTATTAAGGGTTTTGGAGTGATTTTTTTTTTTTTTTTTTTCCTTCCTCAGAGAGGAAAAGTATAGATGGGTAGTGACTATATTGAGTCTCTGTGAGCAGGACTTACTGAATTACTTATAGAATTAACTAAATTAGTTTTATTGCATTACTCTATGTGGTGTTTATGTTTGTGTGTCAACTTGGCTAGGCCTGGTTGAGTGGCTGGGCAGCTGGATGTAGTAGTAGTATTCCCCATGATGAGACTGGCAATCAACTCCATGTTGGAATCTACTATGAGCAGCTGAGTAGCTGCCTTTGGGTATGTGGTCTGCTTCCTATATAAGGAGAAGTTTTGAGAATGGTCTCTAGCCTTTGGCACGCTTGGACCCTGCATGTAGCCATGTCATTGCTCAGCAGCCTGCTATGCTCTGCTGACCTTGGGACTTACAGTGGACTTAAGTTAATGGCCTGCCGTGTGGATTGGTAACATTGGGACTGTGCATTTTTACTTGTCAACCTTGGGGCTTCTCAGCCTCAGCAGCCAACAGCTGTCTGAGTGAAGATGCCTCTAGCTCCAATGGGCCAAGAGTAGGAGGCAGAGCTGGACCCCAAGGTTGAGGGGCTTTCACCCAGCCCCTGAAGCCTGGCACTTTGAACTTGAACTTAAAGCCTCCAACTTGTAAGAATAAACTCCTATTTGTTAAGGCCATCCCATTTGTGGTATTTTCTTGTCAGAGTGGCACTCGGTAACCAGAACACTGTACATGTATCCTAAATAAAGTCATGCCAGGTTTCTGGTGTCTTATTGAAAATACAACATGCTAAAATATAAAATATTTTATATTTTTGTTCATGGAAAATGTTTATCAGTATAGATAAGAAAATACTTCACTTATACCTCTTCTGCATTTTGGGAGATTACCTTTGAGAAAATTTTCCTTTCTGCCATGAGTAAAATAAATATTTTGGTGTCGTGAATGAATAAATAATAAATAGTTACAGTGTTTTTTTTTCTTTTTTTGCTTTTTGCTTGTTTATTGTTTTCTTTTTTAGTAAATTTAAGTATAGCAGTAGCATAATAATAAATACCTAAGAGTCTCAGTAAATCTTATTGAATTAGAGGGGAAAAAAAAAAGAGATAAACAGGAAAGGAACATTGTATTTTCTCCAATATAAATACATGGCTTTCTAAAATTTGGAAAGAGTGTAATTGTAGGAATAGAACCATAAAAGCACATCTTCCTGTAGAAGTAATCAATATTCTTTGTTTTAGGAACTGGAACGGGCATGGAGAGAATATGATAAGTTAGAATATGATGTAACTATTACCAGGAACCAGATGCAAGAACAACTAGATCGACTTGGTGAAGTTCAGGTACATAGCTTTAACTGGTCTTGACTTGTACTACACAACCAGCCTTGTTAAATTCATGCATACCGTTAAAATTTTTGTACTCAGATTAGCTCAGACACATTTTTGAATACTTTCAATGACAGGCATCTGTCTCACAAAGTAGCCCATACCCTCATTATTTAAAAGTTTTTCATTTGTTATGTTGGATAAATAGTAAGCCCTAGAATGTTCTTTACTCTCTGGTGTATGAGCTCTGTCATTGGTTCCTATAAATGTGGCTTCATATTCCTCTCAGGTCTATCTGTCATTTGGGATTGAGTTCTTGAATTATATAAATTTACCAAATAATGGAATTTTTGTCTTTTGTATATTTACTCTCTCTTTCATCAAATTATATTTAGCCTATTTTCTTGACTGACATATTATTAGAACAGGGGACACTGTAGCACCATTTGATGTAAAGAATCTGGCTTTGTAAACAGGTAGATCTGAGATCATATTCCAAGTCTCATCTCTAAAATAAATGTAAATAATAATCTGTCTTAAAGTATTGGAAGAATAGAAATAATAGATGTTTTTAAAAACATTAAAAGTCATGTAATGCTTGTGACTGTATATAAATTTGATCATCTTCACTGGAAACCCAGTGGACACAACAGATCAATCAATAAAATGCATAAAGATTAACAAGATTGACCCTATAAAAGATGAACGGTATCTGTGCTGTCTTAATAGCCACTATTCACAAGGGGCTATTAAGTTCTAGAAATACAACTACTGTGATTAAGGAACTGGACCCTAATTGTGTTTCATTTTAATTATTTAAATTAAATAGCCACATGTGGCTGTGACTTCTTTGAAACACTGTTGTTACACTGTCAATAATAAACTACAGAAATAAGATACTAAGTACAATAGAGGAAAACGTATGTCTAAGGTTGACTCAGCACAACAAAAATAACAAGGTTTAACCCAGTGGTCAACAAGCGTTTTGTAAAAGGCCTGACATTAAATATTTCAGATGTTATAGATACATACATTCTGGCATATATTTTGTTTGTCTTTATTTATTTACTTACTTAGTTATTTAAACAACCCCTTGAAACTGCAAAATCCATTCTTGGTTCAAGGCCATGTGAAAAGGGACTGTGGGCCACAGCAATTTGCCATCCCCTGATGTAACTTAACAAAAAATGTTTATTATTAAAATTTAATTATAAGACATGAAGAAGATTTGACTAAAGGAAGACTTATAATTGGTATGACATGATCAAGATGAAAATTCTTCCCATACTTAAATTGTATTCTTACCAAATTTCCAGCAGAACTTTTCTGGAGAAGTTAACAAAATGGTTCTAATATTTTAAAGGTTATAATAAAGGCTCACAGGAAGTTAAGACATTTTGAAGGAAGAAAAAGGGCAACTATAGAAGGCATGCTGTAAGAGAGATAGGATTACACACGTAATGTTGCATTAGTAACATAACTACTGTGTGCCTCAGTTTCTTCAACTGTAAACTGAAGATCATAATAATAACTACACCTGTCGGGTTGTTATTAGGATCACATGTGTTGATATTTTTGAAGGACTTAAAATAGAACCAGGCACATAAAACATATTATTTAAGCATTTGTTAAATAAGTAAATAAGAAAACAAATATAGAAGCATAGTGTTAAACATGGTACAGAGCAAAAATAGACCAATGAAACAGAATAGAAAACTCAGCAATAGACCATGAATAGGAAACAACTTGGGATTTAATAAGTAAGGAATTGAGAAATTATTAGTAGATGGTGTTAGAAAACAGGCTCACTGTATTGATGACTTGCTCATACCAAAAAGAAAGGTGAACTTCCAATGCATTACACACCTAAAAGTAAACAGTAAGAGTATAAAACTAATGGCAGGAAATGTAGAGTAGGGATGAACTTCTCAAACAAGACCCAAAAAATACTACCTACAAAGCAAAATCAAAAGTGGGAGCAGGGAAAAGAGAAAGGGTGAAAGGGAGGAAGGAAAAGAGGGAGAAAAAAATTACTGAAATTTTACTCTATCGAAATAAAAGATTTCTCTTCAATGAGAGTAACAGCCAAGAAAAACCAAACTCACTGCCTTCAAGTCAGTTCTAACTCAGTGACCCTATAAGAAAGGGTAGAATTGCCCCATAGGGTTTCCAAGGCTGTAAATCTTTAAGGAAGTAGACGGCCTCATTTTTCTCCCTCAGAGCATCTGGTGGATTCAAACAGCCAGCCTTTTGGTTAGCAGCTGAATGCTTTAGCCAGCATGCCCCCTGAGCTCCTAGAAAGCAGCATAAACCAAACCAAACTTAGAGCTATCAAGTCGAACCTGACTCATAGGCAACCTCTCTTTGAGTTTCTGAGGCAATATCTCTATGGAAGTAGATTGCCCAACCTTCCTTCCGAGGGGTGGCTGGTGGGTTTAAACCACCAGACTTCTGGTTAGCAGTCAAATGCCTTAGGCACTATGCCACCAGAACTCCTAGAAAGCAACATAGACAAAGTTAATAGATGGCATTACTGGAAAAGAGTGGTATCTTTGACTGCTAAAGTTTAACAAGGGTTTGCTATCTAGATGTGCAAGGAAAGTTGTCTTTTGTGTTTGGAGAAACAGTCCACTAGAAAGTAGACAGAATATGAGTAGTTAAATCATAGAAGAAAAAGTGATAATAAGTATTGCAAAATAAGACAAAAATTAAGATTTTTTCTTTGTACACTTTTCAGATGGGAAAAAATATGTGTATATATATATTTATTGATTTATTTATTATTATTACAAATATAATGCATATTTTTTATACAACATGTGCAAGTATCTGATTTTTATAGTTGATCTTCTCTCCTGATAAGTCTATATCAATATCCACATCTCTGAGCTGTCGTGTTTGGGTCTTGTGTGAGTACTTCTTCCTTTTACTTTGATGCTTCTATCCTGTGCCTCGGAAAACTAGATAACTAAGCTTCTGTAGTAGTGCCCTTTGGAAGCATTGTTAGTTCATAGTCTTTAGGCTTTTACTTTAAAAACATATTTCTACTGTTCTGAGGGCTTTTTAACTTGCTGATGAAATATATCTAATATTTAGTCTTCAAGAACTGTTATTCAGTGAAAAAAAATATATTGCTAGGTAATGTGACAGTGTTTGTACTTCATTACCTATTTCTTAAAGTTACATTCATAAAATGTGTTTATTGTTATCCAAAGTATCAGTGAGAGTCATAGAGTTCTAATAAAATCTTAGAGAAAACCCATTCCAACTGTGCTAGTCAAGAGATTTGGTTGCTATGCAACACACACACTACTGTTGTTTTCTAAGAGGGATATTAAGTTTCTAGCAGGGCATCAACCTTTCCCATTCCTGTTATCTTTTCAGTAAACTCATACTTTACAGATTCAGGTCTATTCCAGTGTTTCTTCGTCGGCCACGACTGAACTGGAAAGAACTAGTTTGAAGCCCTGTCTAGAATTTAGGAAGCTAATATACTTTGTTTTCCCCCCACCCAAGAAAGTTATTTTTGTTTTGCTTTGTGGCTCCTGAGGTTTTTTTGTTTTGGTTTGGTTTGGTTTTGTTCATGTTTTCTGTTTTCATTCCTTCTGATCAGTATGCTTTCTTGGGATCATAAGTAATATAAAGCAAAGCTTACTTAATTGATTACTTAATTAATTGATTACTTAATTGATTCTTGATCTAGCCATTAGAGAAACATGAAATATTGCACTTAAGTTTCTTTTCTTTCTCTGCTTAATCTTTTATCTTTTCCACTGAAGTTGAAAACTTGGGAATCCATATAGATCATATTAAGTATTTTCAAAATTTAATCCACTGCAGTTAGAATTCTCATGTTTATATTTATTTATATATATATATATATATATATATATATATCCACTGCAGTTAGAATTCTCATGTTTATATATATATATATATATATATATATATATATATATATGTAGTTAGTGGAATTTGTGACTTTATTTGATGGTTTGTCTTGTACGTGGTTTATTCATTTTATTGACAGACTGAATCAGCAGGAATTCAGCGTGCACAGATTCAGAAAGAACTTTGGAGAATTCAAGATGTCATGGAAGGGCTAAGTAAACACAAACAGCAAAGGGGCACTGCAGAAACAGGTAAATTAGCTTTGTATTTTATTGCGTAGTATCCAGCCCCAGTATTGTATCTAAATGGAATATCACAAATAACTGGCTTCATTTTATTACCTTAATGGATATTTTGACTTAAGAAAACAAGCACTTTTCTTCATGGCATTCAGTGAGTACTCAAGAGAGCATGCTGGATTCACCCACACAAACATAGCCACTGTTTTGTGAATAAGAACACATGCAGTGTTTGGGTTGTAGGAATTTTTCACACACACAAACGAAAAATGAGCTCACTATGTTTCCACAATTTGCTTTTTTCTCTTAATACAATAAAATAGATTAACTGTAATTTATTTATCCATTTCTGTATTGATGGGCATGTAAATTGTTCTACTTTTTGCTGCCATACCAGTTGCCATCAAGTTAAAATAAACACTATTGTACATGTATCTGAACCACATATACATGCTAGTGCTTAGTAGATTCTAAGAAGTGAGATTTCTAGCTCACATTTTCCATTTTAATAGGTAGAGGCAAATTGCCATGCTAAAATAAGTTAAATGGAATTCTTTTTTTTTTTCCTGTAGATTTAGAGAGCTAAATTAGTTATTTTATAATTTTTTCATAGGTATGATAGGATCAAAGCCTTTTTCAACAGTCAAATACAAAAATGAGGTAAGTTTGGATTATGTTTCTAACTATTTAATTATTTAAAGCATGAATTGAGCTTTTTTCTACTCTTTTAACAAAAATGTTTTTTAAATATATTCTATTTAAAAGTTATTGTCTTAATCTTAAAATTTTATTGATTCTGTAATTTGGTACTTATAAAAATGTAATTTTTTTTTCTTTTCTAAATGCAAAAAAAATTGAATCACCACTTTACATCTATTAGAATTTTAACTTTGTCATAGTTTTTTGTAAAGTTAATCAGCTGTATGATGCATGGCATAAAGAAATTATAGCTACAAAGAGATACTGTCAACCTAGTTGAACAAATCTTTGGTTTTGAATTTTACATAAAAACCAATCACAGAAATGGTTCTCCTTTTTTTTTCTTCTCTTAAAATTTGAGGGAAGAAAATGAAGTATAATTTTTTAATTGATTCATTCCTTCTATTTTTAAAATGAAATAAAATGATTAGTTTCATACAGTTGTCTGTTTTGATGTTGAGCTTCAGTGTAAGCCATGCCTATGTCTTACAGAAGAAATTAAGTACTACCATATTTAAAACCCAGTTATTGGCTATCATAAAAACTATTTGGTTTTACTTTTCAATATGAGACTTTGATCTTGACAGTGTCACTTTAATTATCTTAAAGTCAATATAAGTTAATTTACCATTGAAAAAAAATAGATACATTTAATTCAATATGCTTATCTAAATAAGGTGACTATTCTACAATCTTTAGGAAGAGGAAGTAGTCCCACCTCGTCCTCCACTTCCTCGGTCCTATGAGTTTACAGAGCAGCCTCCCATAATCCCCCCTCTGCCCAGTGATAGCAGCTCCTTGCTCTGTTATAGCAGGGGCCCAGTGCATCTGCCTGAAGAAAAGAAGATTCACCAAGTTCAAGGATATCCAAGAAATGGAACTCACTGTGTAAGTGGCTGGAATAGCCACAGAATAATCAATCATATATGCCCCCTCATATTTTTTAATTATTTTATTTTGCTATTGAACTTTTGTTTTTAATTATCACCCCATGTTTTTATAACCCTACTTTTAGCCAGTGCTTTTTTGTTTATCTAACAAATATTATCTAATTTTTTTTCATAGATGGTTTTCCTCTTTTGGTTTACCATTGTCATTTATTTGAATATTTTCATAATAGTGGTTATTTTATTTTAAACATTTTGAATAAGTCACATTGTAAATATACCATGTTAGGATATTAGAGGCAAAATTATATCTTTGCACCAGAAAGAAGAGAGAAGTAAAGAGATTGTTTGTAGGATTAATTACAGTATTGGGACATGGACAGCTCAGTCTAGGAAAATTGTTAAAAATGTGGACATTACCAAGGAAACACTTCACTACTAGAAATCAGACATAAGAGATTTAAGATTAAGCAAATAACAGTAAAATATAAGAAGCAGAGAGAGGAGAATAAAGGAACAAAAAGAACAGCTTATTTTGAGAACAGCAAAATGTGTGTCTGTAATAGGAATTTTAGTGCTGGAATGGGGCCTCACTTACTCAGGCCACCTTCTAAATGAAAATGTCTCGAGTCTATATAATTACTTTTAGACCTCAGTTATAACATGTTAAAAATATTCTAATGGCTTTATTCCTAAAATGGAATATTCTTAATTTTTAAGCCGTAATTTTTACTTAGTTACAAGTCTTTCAAATTCTTTTCTTTTTCCTTAGTTATAGCATAAAGATTAATTGTTTCCAAATAGCTGAGTATGGGCCTGTTAAGTTTTAGGATTTTATTCTAATCTTTAGAGATTAACATTTTAAAGAAAGATTTTAGTTTTTTGTTTTTTCAATAACATGTCTTCATTTGTAGGGTCCAGATTATAGACTGTACAAGAGTGAACCAGAGTTAACAACAGTGGCAGAAGTTGATGAATCTAATGGAGAGGAAAAGTCAGAACCTGTTTCAGAAATGGAATCTGCAGTTGTTAAAGGTCAGCATTTGGGATATATTTTATCTTTTGTATCTTTTAGACATTTTAGCAATGATGTAATTTTACATACTGTCTCACTATCTACGCAGTCCACAGTCCCTTATCTGGAACCTTGGAAATCTGGTGAGTTTCTGAATAAAGAAGTTTTCAGGTACTAGGAATGTACCGTGGTTCATCTTGGTTAGGAATAAGGCACCACCTCTTTTTAAAAACATATTTCTGGGACAGTCATTCTAAGTGGGATAAATAAAGACTATAAAAGTTTCACATCCATTCAGGTTAATTTTTGCTGAGAAGTAAGTTGTGTCAAATGCGAGTGATCAACACGGTGGCATTGAGTAAGAAGAAGATGGAGAGAGGTACAGATAACAAAGATGAACCCTTTTGGCATACAGTACTGCGTTGTCAGTGATGGCAAACCTTGATCGACGGGTAGATTGATAGGTGGGCAGGTGAACTATTAGGTATGTCTATGCAGGGAGGAGTGTGCCCATGACCATATATAGGGTTGGCAGACAATGTTTTTACAAATGTATTTGTATGTTCTATAAGACTTTCTAGGTATATAGTAGAGCTAACAAGGAGCAAGGTTGTAGTCACTTCTTGGCTACAGCCAGCGACCCAGAGGGAGCAAGTAGTTGGACCTATGGGCTGGGAACTATGGTTGTAGGGGACATCAAGCTCAATTGGCATAATATACTACACAAAAATATTGTTCCACATCCTACTTTGGTGACTAGCGACTGGCATCTTAAAAGCTTGCAAGCAGCCATCTAGATGCAACAATGGGTCTCTTGTCCAGAGCAAAACAGAATCAAGAAAACCAAAGATTCATGGAAACAGTTAGTCCAAGTGACTGGTACAACATGTAATCCTCAGCCTATATGACTATGAGACCAGAAGAACTAGATGGTGCCCGGCTACCACTGTCAACCACTCGGAGGGGGATCTCTTTAAGAGATCTTGGATAGAGAAGGAGAGCAATGTGGAACAGAACTCAAAGTCATTTAAAAAAAGGGGGGGCAGGTTTACTGGTCTTAAGAACCTGAGACTATGGACCCTAGCTGCCCTTCAGGTCTGGAATTGAACCCATTCTTGTGGCTTCCAGCCAAACAAAAGACAAGCATATGAGCTGAACATTTGCATTGGGTGGATGCATTGCTTGGAGAGATCAGTCATGGGAGAATAGAAGAGCTGTGTATGCACAGGGAGACAGCCCAGGAGGCAAGAGTGCATGGGAGGGAAGGACACAGAGAAGAGGTGACTATGGGGAGGAAATAGGAGAGCTGTTACATTTGGGAGATTAGAGTCAATGTCATGAGACAAAGTGTATGTGAACTGCTGTATGGAAGATGAGTTTGCTCTGTAAACTTTCACCCAGATCACAATAAAATTTTTTTAAAAAAAGTAAGTTATGTCAAGCTTTGGTAAAACTTTCCATTTTCAGAGGATTCTTCCCCATACACACTATTTGAAAATTGTTCATGAGGAATTAGGGGTTGATATAAATTTTCACCCAATTCTATAAATTCCGTGAAATAATACTTGCTCGTACTGTATATAATCTGATCTTTAAGTGTGGATCTTTCTTTGAGAAATTGTTATCATAAAGAAAATGATTAGAAGGGAGGAAGTTTATTCTAGATTTAAAAGATAAAGCCAAATATTATTCAGTGCTTGAATCTTGATTGGGTCAGTTGAAAAGAAAAGGCTCTTAGTGACATTCTTGGGACAATTTTAGAAGTTTGAATATATTCTTGATATTAGATAATAATAGATATAATCATTCTATTGTAATTATGTAAAGAAGTGTGTTATGTGAATTCTAAAATACTTATTGGAAATATATCTGCAACTCACTTTCAAATGGTTCACCAAAAATGTGGGTGTGTATGTACTTGTAAAAAGCAAATATGGCAAAATGTAAAATTTTTTAGAAAAATGCTATTCCATAACTCAGTGGACTAAATTTTTTAATCTGCTAAAGGATCATGCATATAGTTTGAGAAACTCTAAGGTGATAATATTTACATATCTTTTTCCAAAATTGAAAATTTTTTTAGGTCATCTAATATCAGAAAAGCAGCTCTGGTAGTGTAGTGCCTAAGGCACTTGACTGCTAACCAGAAGGCTGGCAGTTCAAACCAGCCACTCCTCGGAAGGAAGATGGGGCAATCTAGTTCCGTAGTGATACTGCCTTAGAAACCCAAGGAGGGGTCACTATGAGTTGGGTCCAACTCAACAGCACATAACAACAACAACAACAATATCAGAAAAATACTGAATTCTTGAAATTTTAATATTTGTACATCTTTCTATTTCTTATCAAAACAAATTGTCTCCTCATTGAAAGTCTTTATTATCCTCTTAACATTTTATACAAAATGTAAATTAAACAATCATAGACTCAGTCTTTATCTTACTGTTGTAGTTTACTGTAAACATCCCAGAAAAATTATAATGCAAACAAAAGTAAATTATATTTTTGACAATATATTAAACTAGATTTCCTGACCACTTTTCCCACAGAAAATGCTGACAAATGCTGCTTAATGTCATTTTAGTTTCGTTTTGTAAAAAAATAAAAAAAGTATCACCAAGTTGGGAAAAACTAAAGAAAAGAATTGTCAGAAGAGAAAAGCTACTTGAAAGAGGTAACCACGAAATTAAATGATCAATAAAGGCATCTTGTGATAGAGCTCAGAGCCTGGACAAATTAGAAGTCTCATAGGAGATCTCTCAAATAAACTGAATAACTTAGAAGGCTGGACTCTCAGTGAAAACTAATTAGTTGTATTTTTTCAAAGTCCATTTAAAACTTCATACATTAAGAACTCCTGTAAGTCAATAATAAAGACAAACAACCCAATAAGAAAAGAGAGTTGGACACTTAACAAAATAAGTTCTAGAGTGACCAGTAAGAATACAAAAAGGTTTCCACTCTTACTAGTCATAAAGAGAATGCAATTTAAAATTACATTCAGTGTCTAAAATGGCTAACTTTAAAACTCTGAAGATACCAAGTATTGATTAGGACATAAAGCCTAAAACCAAACTCACTGCCATCAAGTTGATTCTGACTCATAGCGACCCCTTTGGGTTTCTGAGGCAGTGAATCTTTATGGAAGTAGATTGCCCAGTCTTCCTTCTGTAGAGTGGCTGATAGGTTTGAACAACCAACCCTCTGGTTACCAGTCAGATGTCTTAGGCACACCACCACCAGAGAGCTCCTTTGATTATAATACAGAACAATGGAAATTCACATTCTAATGGTGATATAAAATGGAACAACAATTCACCCATTTCTTATAAATTAAATGTGCAGTTTATTTGGTAAGATCTTGTGATCCTAATTTATAGGATCTTATGATCCAGCAGTTCTACTCCTATGTATTTACCTGAGAAAATGAACACATTCCTCAAAAATACTAGTACAAGGATTTTTAATGCAGCTTTAATTCATAATACAATGAATTTGAACATGCCTGGTGTCTTAAGGGTGAACAAAAGTTTGTCTTTTGTCTCCGTGAGTCAGAGATGACTTGGCAACAGCTGTCTCTCTGTCTGTCATTCATAATAAATAAAAACTGGAAACAGCCTATGTATCCATCAGTGAATAAACAAATTGTGATATCTTCAAACAATGGAATACTCCTCTGTAATTACAAAAAATGAACTACTGATTAATGTATAATATGTATGAATTTTGACAACATATAAATGAATATTATGTGTGTGTGTATGTGTGTATGTATATATATAGAGAGAGAGAGTAAAAAAAGAAGCCCAAGACAAGAGAGTGAATAACTCCCCTTTATGACATTTGAGAAAGGTCCAAATTGATGCCTGCTGGTGACAGACATCAGAATAGTAGTTGCCATTTTGGGAAGGGGAGGATTGATGGAAAAGGAGCTTTCTGGGGTAGTAGAAATGATCTTTATCTAAATTAAGATGCTTACGCAGGTCTGTATATTTGTCAAGCCTCAGCATTTGTGCACTATGCATCTATGCAGTTTAGTATATATTTTACCTCAATCAAAGGGTGGTATGATAAAGACAAATCAAAATTGGAGTCTTTGCCACTTCTTGACAATCACTTAAAAGTTCTACATTACTTCAGGTAGAAGGAAATTCATCAAATATGGAAAGTCTGAGAAGCTAGAAGGAATGAAAGAGAATAGTAAATATGCGAGTACGCCTAAACAAACATTGACTCTACCGCACACACACAGTAGATTGGCTAAAGACCGACAACCTGTGTAAATTATATAACAGTTCTGAGTAGTGTCTTAGCGAAGCCCCAGTCTTACACTGTGTTAGAAATGAAAGCAAAGCATTTTTTATTTGTTTTGTTTTTAAGTTTTTATTGTGATTTGGGTAAAAGTTTGTAGAGCAAATTGATTTCTCCTTTTCATTCCTTTTCCTTTCCTAATCCTTCCTGCCTTCTGAACTTTGTCCCTGGACAAATGCTGCCCTTTTGATCTCAGAATGGTTTAATTTATTGTTCTAAGGAGTACATACCCACTTAGTGTTACTCTTCACCCTGTAGATCTATTTTTTGCCTGGAAATTGAGCCACAAGGGCTAATTTGGTTCAGATTCAAAGGCTAACTAAGGGTAACCTGGAGATCCCATCAGTCTCCATACTACTAATGACCTGGTCATTTTTATGATTTTGAGTTTTATTCCACATTTTTCTCCCACTCTATCTAAGACCTTCTAGTGTGAGCCCTTTCAGACTGGTCACTAGAAGTAGCCAGTCTCCATCTAATTCTGGTCTCAGTGTTGTAAAGCAATGAGTGTTATTGAAAGGTAGATAGATTTTGCACATTAGGAGACACATTTACTACCACTAAGAGTACTATCCTATTCCATGTTGCAAGAAGAGAGCAAGGACTTCCAGTAAGATTGAGGAATACGCAGACAAGCGACACAGACCCTCTTCGACAAAAAAAAAGAGAAAACAAGTGACAAAGATACAAATGATAATCCTGGAGCCCT